TTTTTTTTAACCATGTCATCAGAGGGGCTCCGTAAGAAGCTAAATCCCGGAGCAGAATTAACTCTGCAAGGCAGACGCTGCATGACTGTGGTGCTGCTGCTTTACACCAAGTCGAAGTGAGTCACCCTCACAGTTTGACAGTCAGATGTCTCTTTATGCATCGAAATGAGTCAACCTCACCTTTGCTTGGCGGTGCAGCGGCTATAAAAGAGTCCTGATTGCATTTACTCTATTAAGTCTCATTGTTTATTTAGAAAGGAAAATGAATTAAAACTGTTACTAAGAGAGATATGAAGCCACAAAGGAGCCTTTATTCACTGATACTGGTTTATTTTTTTGTGTAAATGAATGTTTTTCAATTATCGCGTTCATTAGAAAAAGAGTAGAGAAAGTTTAAGTAAATAACCTCCCATTAAAAATCAGCAACTTTTTACTTTTTAATTAACTCAAACTCAACACTGAAAATAATTCACAGTAGTCGATGACTAAGTTTTTTTTTTATATATATATATTCGTTTAGGAAAAACTACAAAATTTATTAGCCTGTTTTTGCTAAGTAATATCGTCCTAATGAATTTGCAGCACCTGTTTCCTTTGTCTTGAGGAGCAAGCAGAAATCCTCCATGTAGATGAGCAGTTTGGAAAGACTTGTCGCTACGCTAATAACACTCATCAATAATTCAGACTCTTCTCTGTGTCTGGGGCACAGTAGAAAAAGAGTTATGCATGGACTCCTGGCAGCAATGCGCTACATGAATCTTCTCTTTGTCCTCTTTATAAAAAACAACATAAACAAGAACATTGACAAGCATCAAAACAATGTTTAGAGGAAGTGCAGGTGGTGAAATAATGTGTTCAGTTATTCCTCTTATGTTGACATGAAGCTAAAGCCATAAAGATCTCAAAAATAAAAATCATCCACTGAGATGAACCTCTGTAGGATTTTTCTTTCCTCCTGAAACACAAGTAGAAAAATCTTTTTCATGTTTTTAAATAGCTAACAAACTGCATTTTTAATAAATCTCTGCTAAGTTTTAAGTTTTGATTTGATCAGTCTGGCTGTAGGACAACAGGATGAGATCAAATGCAGGCTAAATTTAATAAACAATATAGGTACAAATTAATTACAAATGTAGATGAAAATGACGTTTACTTGAATCAAAAACAAACTTTAGGAAAATTTCTACAGGCTAGAGAATCCTCTATAGTGTTTTCACAGAAAGTTATTTTTTTAATATCACATGACATTTAACACATTTTTAAAGAGAAATAAATTATTTAGTTTTGCCTTTATTAGATTAAACTTCTAAAGGTTACATATTTCAGCAACCTTAGCTTATGTTTTTTTTTTATAGAGCTTTCAAAATGTTTTCGCCTGTCATACTTTCAGACTTTTTGCTCTGAATGCTGCAACAGAAATAACGTTAAAGTGGTGGCAGTTTACTTGATGCTAAGTCATGTCGACTTCTGCAGGACAATTGCTTTTGAGTCCAGACGGCAGGTTTCCAATGAATCCCTGCCATTTTTGTGTTAAAGTAAATGTTTTTGATTGGGTAAATACTTGCTAACGGTAAAACAAGTACCGGTAGTTTAAAAATACACTCTTTTTTTAGCATGAAAGGAGAAATTTTTAGCAAAATTTTTAAATCAAAGTTGTCAAAATAGTTGCTTTACAACTGGAGTAATTAGTCTTGCAATCAAAATTGCTGCCTTCACAAAAAGATCCATCCTACGCCTCCAACCCTAGGATAATAGAGCCCTCATTTACACAATTAAGCTAAATTGAGACACGTTATGTAAAATTGTACTGCTAAAAAACATAATTAAATCTGCAAATAGCAATAGAGACTTGAAAACAGGTTAGAAAATGTTATATCCTCTATTTGTTCTAACAACTAAGCTGGTCAACCAGAGTGTAAGGAATCAGCCTAAAAACAGTCAAATTATGAATCCCTGCAACCTGCAAGACATTGATGGGAAAGTTTTCAAATCAATCTTTCCATAAAGTGCCTCTGGTTACAGGTTGGAGCAAATGAAATCCAACTGAGAACTACCTGCAGTATATATCCAATTTTCTATAACATGTTTTACGTTCCCTGAAGGAACAGGTGTGATAGATCTATATAAATGTCTCTTTCATTGCTGATAGTAATGAAAGATAGCAGCCATTAGCCGGAGGTTACGGACTTGTAGCTTTGAATTTGTTTTCTGGGTCTTTTCCCTTCGGTAGATTCAGCCTTGCTTGTATTTCTGACTCTCCGGAGAGGTTATTTTGCTTATACTGTGGAGAAAATGTGAGATTAGTGTCTAGTATGAAGCCCAGTAATGATCTCCTTTCATGTCGAGGGTGGATCTGATTATTTTGCAGATTGGCTTTAGAAATCTGAAATGCAGAAAATGAAACATTTTTATTTCCCTCTGTCAAACCAAGATCCTATCTTATTTGGACTTTTTTTTTAGTTTGGACTGATCATTATTTCCAAAGAAAAAGCGCCCTACTTTCAACTTTTACAGTTTTTTCTCCAACCTTATAAAGATTTCACAGTTTTCATCACAAGTTTTTGGCACATATCTAGTTTGCAATATTTGTTTTTGTAATTTAATTAAAAAAAAAGCAAAGGTGCAATTACAGAGATACATTCAACTTTGTTTCATCTGTAAGGTAAAACTCTGAACACATTTAGGGTGAAATTAATGCTTAGTTCTGTTGTGGCTTTCATATTTATCACAAACACCCCAGATAATCACTCACTCCACACTCGCCCTAAGACAAACTCTTCCCCTTCGGATTTAACTTTGACTAATGGAGCCCTAAACAAATTGGCAGATGATGCACAGCCATGTTGTGCAGAAATAACAAACTCTGCTCGAGCACAAACTATTTTTCCTCCCAGGTTCGCTGGTTACCGAAGGACAGCTGAACTCTTTGCTCACCAGCCTTTCCCTCCACTATCTCATTTCAGTAATGATGTTAAATGTTTGCTGATGACGGAGGAGACAAAAGGTTTTTTTTCAGGAATCTATTAAACGCAGAGTGTAGTGAGAGTCTTGCTGTTTCCTTATTTCTTTATCTCCAGGGTAAACAAAAACACATTTAAAAGGAGCAAAGTAGAGATATAATTTTGTGGGGTTCGGATGCTCTTTGCGGAGCTTCTGGGAGCTGGATTGTTTTTAAGAGCTGTTCTTTGACAGCAGAGTGAATAATGGAAGTGAAGCTGGAGGTTTGTTGTTTTTTTCCTGCAGAAGAAAAATCTAGCTCTCCGGGGGTTTTTCTTTCTCTGGTTTCAAAGAAATGTGACATATTTAGTGCAGTGAGAGTTAGTTTAAAGATAATCAACATAAAAAAAAAAAAAAGCAGATAGCTATCCATTATTTTAATTAAAAAGTTAAAATGAGCTATTTTTAATTCGGCTGAAAATCAGATCAAAACAAAAGTGGTAATTTCCTTTTGCGAAAGAATGCTCTCAAAACAACATATGAAACGTCTGAAATGTAAATCTGTGAAGACTTTTTTTAAATGTGGATTTCATTTTCGAAAAATCTCACATTGCTTAACACTTAAACCTGAACAAAAGTGAGAAATAATATAGAACTATATATAAACCAAGAAAGACAATAATAATACAATAAGACAATAAATATGTGTCCACCTATCTTAGTAGTATTGGATCATCTGGAGATGATTGAATGTTTATTTTTCATAACATTCAATTCAATTTAATGAGAAGGAATGAAGCAAAGTAGCCTGGGTGCCATTCCAAACTTAGTCCCGCCCACAACGTTTGAGGTCGGGAGCAGTATCAGACTCATATTCTGACTAGAATTGAGTAGGACTACGTCAGGCTAGAAGCAAAGATATGTTATTGTCAAACTAGTATTTATTTTGGATTATTTTTATAAGTTGATGTGGTAAACATCGTTATTTTAATTGATAATTTCTTTAACATGAGGCGTGTAAAGTGTGAGCAGGATCAGCACTAAAACAGAACCCTGAGGGACTCCGTGAAAAATGGCTAAATAAATATTAAGTGACATGTTGACGTTAAGTTATTTTCAAATAAAATTTTAAATCATTCTCAGTATGAATCAGATGACCAAATCAGATCATAAAGTCATGCTATTTTTGAATATCATGTGGTCAACTGGAATTAATCACTCTAGGACTGTGAATCAGCCACTGACAGCAATAAAGAAAGTCTGACTTTTCAGAGTTAGCAGAACGGTTTCAGTGGAATGACGACATCAGAAATGCAAAGCCTCAATCGAAATGATAAAAATACTTTTGTTTTCAAGAAAATAATTAAGTCGCTCAGCCAAATGGCTTTCCCTACATCTTGCAAATAATGAAAATCTAACTCTTTTAGATAAAACAAAATATTTTTGGAACCATTACCACATCTGCAGATAAAAACAGGTTTGATTTTAGTTTGAATGTTTCCCAGTCCATCACTGTGATCACCAAATCGTAACCAGCAGAGCTTCATTTTGCAGTCTCCTACCTGCAGCCCCTCGATAGCCAGCCGCAGCATGCTGGGGGTCAGTTTGGATGCCTGCTTGAAGGTGAAGTTGCTCCAGTCGATGATGAGGATGAAGCCGTTCACCTGTAGCTCAGGATCTTCAATCATAGACTCCAGCGACAGCAGGATCGCTCTCAGGATGTCCACAAACGTGTACCTGAAAGGAAATGTCAGATGTGTTTTATTTTTCCTTTGACGAAAACATCAAGGTAAACCTCATGGAGAAGTGGGAGGAGAGGAGGATCTGAAGGCTGAACTGTTTAAAATAATCGTGCTATGAAAGTGTGAGAGATGGTTTAAAAATTTGTCACGGCTCTACTTGTTAGCGCTGTTGAATTGGAGTTAAAAGGTTACTGGTAACTCTGAATGTCACCTTAGGTAAACTGATAAATGCTCTTAGGTGTTGATGTCATGTGTACATCATTGTCTTTCTGTGAGATGTCCTGCTGATTTTTCCCCAGCATACCACAGCTCTTTGTCACCCGATTCTTCAGGGAGGGATTCTACCAAGAAGTAACAGTTCTTTATAACACAAATTAATTATCTCCAGTAAGTGGTACTTTATAGGTTATTATGTGACAGACTAACACAAAGTAAGGCATTGTTGAATGGAGGGAACTGATACATGGATTTTAATTTCTTTTTACAGAAATTTCAAACATTTTATAAACATTTATATTCAGGCTACTTTGAGTCCATAGTTTAAAAAACAACTTTTCTCTTCCATTTCAGCCCCCGACCTTTTTAAATATTTGGAATCAGATGTTCTTTTTTCTTCTTTTTGAAAAAAGAAGCAGGTCAGTTTAGAAGGGCAGTGTTTTTGAAAATCCTATTTTAATTCATCAGAATTATATTTCTAATTGAGCCATTCAGACACAGAAATATACTTTTTGAGCTCTGGAACACAAAAACAAAAGCAACTGGATTTCTTAAAATCTTTTCAGGTCTTCCATTCATGGTGGGCAGTAGTCAGGCCGTTAAAATGCTGGTTTAAATTTGCAAGGAAATCTGAAGAAGACGTCTTGGTGAGATTGATACATTTTTAGGAAGTTTGTTGCTCTTAATGCTGTTTTTTTAGAACCTTGCATGACTCAGAAGGCTAAAAATCTCCATTAGCTTGTCGCTCTGGGTTTATTTTTCCAGCTAATTTCCAGGATTTAGTTAGTTTTTACAGCATCTTCCTACCCAATAACTAAAATAGCTTCTCTGCTTGTGCTGAACTGGTATCACCAAAGCATGATGCTACCTTCACCATGTTCTTATTCCAAGAACGGCATGTTCATGGTGATTGGCAATGTCAGTTTTTCATCAATCTAGAACGTAGGCCCCGGAAAAATAAAGAACTAAGGGTCGTTTGATTAGGGTAGCATCTTAATTTTCCCAGTTTTACCGATTTTTTTTGCAACTTTTTCATAAAACCAAGACATCTTTAATCTACAGTATGTTGTCACATTTTTTCCTATTTTTAGTTAAAAACAAAACCAGTTCAATTCGATTCCACCTCACAGTTCAGCCTTTTTTATCACATAAAATCAAAATAAGATGCATGTAAAGAAGAAACTTACAACTAGGGATGCACAATATAATCGGCCCTTTATCGGTATCGGCCTTAAAACTGAATATCGGACATCGGCCACCCCACCGATATTTAACCCGATATTTGATCAGCTTCTGAAAAAAATACTACTTCTTCTTCTTCCTCAAAAACTTTTTTTTTACAGACTTAAAAACTTCTAAAGACGAGGGAAAAAATATTGATACATTAAAATATCACAATATCTTCATATGCTGATATATTGCCATTTAAAAACACCATATCAATCTCTTTTACTAATGAAATATTGCTATATGTCATCGTTATGCTACGAAATCCCCCGAAAATTCACAAAATGTTGCCATATTTTTATATGTCCATATACTGACACGGTATCGATCTATTTTATTAACAAAATCTCACAAGAATTTGCAAAATATCACGAGAGTTTGTAACAGAAGGATGAAATTTCACGAGATTTTGAAAGTAAAATAGATCGATACCACGTTTTTAAAAATCTATTTGATATCAGCATATGAAAATATATTGGAGTATATTATTTTTCAAAGTGTCAGAAATGGATAACAAAACTGCTATTTTCAATGACTACTTATTTTTGTCCAGCTTTAACATCAGTATCGATATCGGTTATCGGCTACATGAGTTTTAAAATATCGGCATATCGGATATCGGCCAAAATCTCAATATCGTGCATCCCTACTTACAACATCTTAAATATGGAAATAATTAGGAATATCAATGCTTTGCATGTCACAGTGTTAAGATTTCCTTTAAAACAGCTGATGGCCACATAGCCTTGTCAGGCCTTCATGGCCAGATTCACAGATAGCCTCCCAATTAGTTCTATCTCATTTTCATCATGTTGGTCTTAAAACTTTAATTGCTTTCAGTGATGAGGGCCCCTGTTTGTCGTTATCCTGGAAATGTAAGAATCTAATTTGGTGGCTAAGATCATCCTTTAGGATTTTCATCCAGCTGATGCTTTCAATTCTCCTGTGTCCTGTTCACTGTTTAAGATTTTTCCTGCTCACAGTTACCATGAAATCCTTATATCCTTAATCTTATATTTTTTTCAAATTTTATGAAAAGTTAAAATTGGTATAGATATTTCATGTGCAAACACGGAAAGTCTACACCGTATACAAAATGCAAAGTCGACAGTATCAATGCAGCTAAAATATTTATATGTTTCTTTTAATTGTTATAAATCATATATTTTATACAAAGCAAACCAACATAGAGGGCAAAGGGTAAGTATGTTGATAGAACTGCGGTTACTCAAACGTTTAAAAGTCATGATCTCATTTTAAAGCCCAACAAAACCACATTCTGACCAAGCTTTTACCTTTAACCTTAACCTAGAAGATTATCCTGACTAAGTCTGTGTCAGTCTGTGCTTTTTCGCCCTATAAACACATGGCAACATGGAGAGAAAAAGAAAAGAAAAAAACTAGTGAAACAGCCCCAAATAAAAAAGCAAAACAGAAATGTTAATTTAAATGAAACTAATTTTATGACTAAAAACAAATATATTGTACTGTATTAAAGGGGAATCTGATTCCACCTTTTTTTATAAAGGAATGGATGCATTCATTCCACTTAGCTTCAAATCTAAACTTAGAAATTTGTAGTTGTAATTGGAAATCTCTTTGCAAACTATGATTTTTTTTTTCCTCATGACCATGTGATTTGATGTCCAGCCTGGTGGTCAGTGGGTCATCAGGTGATTAATGGTTCCTGAACCAGCACAAAGCAGGTGATCATGGTGGGAAAAGGCATCCTTTTAAAGTATCCTTTCAAAGGATAATGAGATAGCAAGATTCAGTCTCACAGCTGGTCGATCGGTTAAACTGCAATTAGGCACACTGTTGCTTTGAGGATGCAAACATGCTGACATGTGCAATGGGTACTGCTGGTTGTATTTTTGCCTGCTTTTTCGGACCATTAGCAAGCAAATGTGTGTAGATTCATTTAGAGTGATAAATCTCTAACAACAAAAGTTGCAGAAGTAATTTTTTTCCAGTTTTTTTATTACAATGAATACAGGGATTTTAATGGAAGAAAAATGAGACCATGAGGAATCATTTCCTGAGTTTTAACACCCTTAAGCCGACAAACCTCACCATATTTTGATGTGATTGACCCTCTCTAACTTACAAAAGGTTTTTCAAAATACTTAGAATCTCTTCAGAGCCCTCAGATGAATCCCCATATATTCTATTCTGAAATCTATAAAAGTTATACTGATAAAAAAAACAACAACATTATAATAACACTGAAAAAAAAACAAGTCATTTCTAAAGAAGAGTAACACCTTAGCATGATGGTCCTGCCGCCATGTTTTACTGTGGGTATGGTACTAATTTCGGTTTTTGTGCCAACCATCTCTAAATTGTAGCTCAAATATTCCAGCCTATTTTTTCCTGCTAAGTTTGGACAAGCCTGTATGTTTTTATCTTTTGACACATGCCAAATACAACCTTCCTGGATAATTTCTATCTTAAGTTGTCCAGAAAAATCCCTGTTTTCCCAAATTTTCTTTAATTAAAGATGACTAAGTCCTGCTACATATTGTCCTGAAGATTTTTGTGCCCCTATTTATAATCTCTCTGTACGCTCTAAGGTATCTAAACAGATACTGACTGGAACATCTAATATAGCTAAAATTTATTTCAGTTGAACCAGATACAATTTAACCCAAAACAGATGTTAAGAAGACTAAATGCAGAAATACAATTCATAATATTCACATTTCATCCTCTAAAGAACGTTGGAACTGGAGGACAAATTAGGTCACATGAATCTTATAAATAGAGTGAGTTATGATTGCTTTCTTTTACATGTTACTTAGACTTAGGCAGACTTTATGTGTCATTTTGTACACACAGAGTGTAAACAAAAATAAATTTTGTTCGGTACAGCTCTCAAGACATTTTCATTTTTAAAGTGCAGCAGTGATAAAATGAAAACATACGACTGTATTTGATTTCCAGTTTCCTACATTTAGTTTTTTTTTTTTTCTACATCCCCTACTGTCAAAATAAAATGACTCAGTTGTAATAAAGCCGTTCAGAAGACTGTCCCCTCCGGACATCAAAATAAAAAGTTAAACAAGCCGTATATTAAATCAACTGTTCTTTGCAGCATTTAATGTGAGTTATAATGTATTTCTAACTTTATTCAGTCAATTTAGAAAACATTGTTTGATAAATTTTACTATTTCATTTTATTTTGTTTTAAAAACAACACAATAACCTAAAGATCTAGACATAATTGTTTTATTTAAAAATTTTTTTCCTGGGATGTAGAGGAAAAGAAATAAAGACCATAAGCATCTACTATATATATATATATATATATATATATATATATATATATATATATATATAGAGTCAAACTTAACAGTTACATTTGTAAATTTTTTGTATTTTATGAATGATTTAGAAATGTCAACATCAAGTAGCCCCACAGCTGGTTAAAGTAGGTCGTTGCTTTAGAAGCACTGTGTGGTGCTGAATGGACAGCTCCACAAGCCTCAGGCTTTTATTTCTGGGGATTTTTCAAACACGGATGTATTTTAAATAGATTGGACACTCATTTCATGAAAAGAAGAATGAAAAATAGCCTGAAACTTTTTTATTACCTGCTCTGGTCCCAGTTGGCGGCGAACAGAACCAGGATCTTCCTGCCGTATTTGTCCAGATTAGAGAGGACGCCGGGAAAGCCATCCTTCAGCGCCTGCTTGATGCCAGGGTCGGTGGGCTTCAAGTTCTTGAACATGTCCAGATTCTGCTGCCTGTACTCAAAGTACTGTGCCAGCAGCCGAAACGCTTCAAAGTGGTTGAATTTCCTCGCCCGGAGGAAACGGAGGATGAAGGCGTCGTCTGTTCTGAGGAAACCGATGTCCGGCCGGGTGATGATCATGTCCCGGACCTCCTGGATGTCCTGGTGGAGAGTCTCTGGGTTCTCCTTCAGTTCCACCTTGGCCTTCTCCAGGGTTTCTGGAGAGAGGCCAGCCTGCAAGTGAGTCATCGTTTGCAACAGCTGTCCCTCCGCGGGGGGTTCACACTACAGCAGCTCCCAATAAAACGGCTGAATAAATGGATACCTCCCGCAGCAACAGGGCAGGGAAGTGGACTGCCTGTTTCCTTTTCTCTCTCTCTGCTTTCTCTGATCAGTAGCTGACTTCAGATGGAGGCCTGCTGCTCTGGAGACGTAATCCACCCTGAACTGACACAGACGCTGCTGCTCTGATCATCCTAGGATGCATTTTCTACATATGAGCCTCTCACTTTTACGCACGGATTCATTTCTTTTTTTAAACCCCTCCTGCAAGATTTCAACTTTATTATAATTCTCCACTGTGCATTGGATGAAATCACGTCCTCCGGGCTTCAGGCTGCAAGTCAAACCTGCTGATCCGGGTGGCCTGAGCTGGGAGCCAACAAACAGCCGCTCTCCTCCATGTCACAGCCTCTCCGCCTCTCTCTCTCTCTTTCTGTGACACAATGACGACGACAGCATCACCGTCTCTCCGAGCGTCGCTGGAAGCGGCCCGGCAATGCGGCACGACCCCGCAGCCGCTGCTACATGAAAACCAGCAGACCTTCACAGCGCATCTCCATCCGTGGAGCTCCTGAGAGCTCCTCCTGCTCCTGCTGCTCCTGATGCTGGGAATCAGAATGGAGGATTTCACCACCAGTATCTGCGCCTTCAAGCCAGTTTAAAGCACATAAGCGCTCTTTCTTATTCCTACCCACAATGTGGGAGAGAAACTCCAACGCATCAGAAGGTGGGTGGTCCAGTAGTGTACAGGTGTCCCGTGTGGTTTTTGTTCCCCTCTTGCCTCCTGCTCCTGGCTGTATGGAGAGGGGTGGGGTGGATGAGGTGGGGGGGATTACCGTCTCTGCTCCTCCTGCTGCTGCCGTCTGTTCTCTGGGAAAGTGACTGACATCCAGAGAGTCCCTGCTCGGCGCGCCTGGGTGTGTGGATACCATCGACCGGGGGGAAGGGAAGAGAGGTGGTGGGAGGAGGGGGTGGAGTGAGAGATGAAAAGGAGAGAGAGAGAGAGGGAGAGAGAGAGATGCCAAAACGGGATGCAAGGAGAAAGAGAGGACAAGGTAGCAACGGGATGGAGAGGCTGGATGGAGGATGCTCAGAAAAATAAGTATGAAATGAATGTAAACAGATGGGGATGTTGACTTTAGGAGATGGAGACCTTATAATTAGGGGCCCCCTTCTTCTTTTTTTTTTTTTAAACCTTTTAGTGACCCAGTTTGTTTGAAAGAGCCACGTGTTTGCAGGTTTCAGCCTTTACATATAAAATTGTCGCAAAAGCTTCAGAAAAAGTTCATCCTGATGTTCCAGTTGCTAAAGAAGATTGATTTATATGTTTTATTAATCTGTTAAAGTAATTAATTGAGATTAAAATATACCACAGTTTCATTAGAAATTAATTTTAATATTTAAAATAAAAATGTAATAGTTTCATCTATGATCATATTCAGACACTGTTTGTGTTAATGATCATGGTTTACAGTCTGCAAAACCTCCAAATGTTGTGTTTTTTTTCTAATTCTTTAAACCCAACAGAGATTCAAAAAAAATTAAAATGTTCAACAGAAAGACATTGATAACCTTCACAAATGACAGAATTTATTTCCAATGTTAAGTTTCCAAAGTCAGTGAGGATTGTGAAAAGATGTCCTCTGCAGGATCCACGGTGATTTATTAAATCCAAGGTTGGCGGGACATTTTAGAGTCTTCATGCTTCCTCCTAAGAAGCTTTATGGGGAGGCTGATTTCATCTTCCAGTAGAACTTGGCGCCTGCTAACAATGCCAACTAAACCAGTATCTGATTTAATGGCAGCAGGAGTCTCTACAGCCAGACATATTTACATCACCATCTCATACTTTGATCAGAGCCAGAGCAACAATGCATATTAAAAATGCATTTAGATATTACTTTCCAAAGATGTAAAATCAGGATTTGTTCTGATGGTTCCACGTCGATTATTTTCCAATGAAATGACTTTAAAAATGCCGTTTATTGGTTGTTTATGTTGGAGTTCAGTGCAAATACTCAGTGTATGTTTAGTCAACTTCTGGTCTGCATATTCAAACACAAAAAAATTACATTTTAGTAATGCATCTAAACATAAACATTACTTTTAAAATTATTTCACAGCAAACATCTCTGTGCATTTCAGCACACAAACAGGTACAAAATATATCCAATAATGTAGAAAAATAGATAATACATATAAAGGATTCAAACAGTCCGATTTAGTCATAATTACGATTCAATGCTTTCACATTCAGTGCCAGTTTGCAGTAAGAGTCATGCTTTACAAATATTAGCTGAATACAATATATCAAAACCTTTACATTTTCTCATGTATGTTTGTTGAAAAACTGGTCCACCTGTAATCAGCTATACAGAATTTCACATTTTATTTAAAATCTAGTTAAGAAATTTCTCTTTCGTAACATTAAAAACTATGGGTCTTTTCTAACTGATATTCTTTTTTGATGTTTTTTTGTTGAGATCTTTTTTATAACCTTATTTGCAGAAAAGTTAGAGTCTAAAAAACTTTTTTAAAATGTCCCTCAATTGATACTTGGTCATTGTTAAGAGAAAAATATCCCAAATTTTATGTTTGACCTTAGATAAGCTATGCCAGCCCTATTTTTTTCTTATATCAGTAGATATAGTTGAATTTTATCTGTCAAGGTTGAGCAGAGGTTTTGAGGACCCAAAAGCAGAGATCAGGAGGCAGAGATACATTTTTCTGATTTAATTAAATGTCCAAGGCAACAGAGGCAAAAATCCAAAATACTGAAAACCAAAAAATCTAGTAATGTCGGGTGAAAACACATAGGGAGCGATGAGTAACAAAACAACAAGACACCAATATTAAGGAACTGCAGAGGTGGTGCATATATGGGGAACAGAACAAAGAATGGGCTAATGAGATGATATGGAGCAGATGTGAATAGAAGTAACTAGAAGGGGGCCAAAGGGAAAGAAAACAGACACAAGGGGGCAACAGAGAGTAACTCAAGAAATATAAAACTGACAGAAAACAACTACAATGACATAGAATAACAAATAAACTAAAAATAAACTTAAACAGAAGGCAGAACCCTCGCATTAGCCTTGTTTATTTATTTTTCTATTCAACTATGTGGCTTTAAATGGTATTTTTTGAAAAATTTTTTTTTGCTAAATAGATTTGTGCTTCATTTTCATTTTCCCTTTATTTCTAGCTAAAGCTTTAGATTAGTAATACATCTTTACTCCACCATCAGCCTACTTTTGCTCTGTGAAATAATAATAGATGAGGTAAAAGAGTTGTTCTGCAACAAACATGATCGTGTGCTGCCACAATGGAGAGCATGATGGGATGGAGTATGTGTGACTGAAAGGGAAAGTGCAGCGAGGAATGAGGGGGGGCTGACACCTGCTCAGCAGTCACCAGACAGCTGGACTTTAAAATGCTGAATTAATTTCTTTTGTATCTGCCTGATTATCCCCCCCCCCCTCCATGGCTTTCTGTGTCACTGCAAATGGTGGAGCGTTCAGCTCAGTTACCTTCACTGCATGCTGTTAAATCAGCAGAGTCGAGACAAATCTGGAACAAATAAAGTATAAATAGAGCGCTCACTGTTGTGCCACAGCACGGTACTTAAGTCTTCCCCTAAGAGCAGCTATAACCTCCAGCATTTAGAGCCTAATGCTCCAAAAACATGATGTATGATTTGGCATCATTTGCCCTGCATAGTATTGGAATATCTTACTAATGTAATAATATTATTGTCATGATATCAGGTGCAGTATAAGCCTATTTGTCTGTTTTTTGTCTCTCATCGCTCTTTGACCTTTAGCATTTTGGGCATTGTCATATCTGTCCACTGTTAACATCTGCTGCTGTGAGACTCTATTCGAATGACTAAATATTACATTAGCATGAAAAATGCAATTCATAACACTTGGAATATATCAGCCAACAATTTTTGGACTCCAAACAGAGCTTTATGGTTTCAATAATTCACACTGATGTCAGTATAGTGGAGATATATTCTAAACGTCCTATAAACCAGATAGAAACTAGTAAAGAGCACCTTTGATTGATGCTGTCTTGGTCTGAAGGTTTTTTCTTTTATTTGCAGTTATGTAAACTACAAGCGGACGGCTGAGAAAAGATTTCTGCTTTGATGGTTGGCTGAGATGCTTCTGCTTTGATGTCAGTAAATGTGTTAAAGCATGAATGTTCTTGGATTGAGGTTCCTCACATTGGTAATGGGTTTGATCCAGTACATTTAACTGGTTAGTAAACACACATATGTGCTAGTTCACATGTATTGACTAAAGGAGCAAAAGGCGAGTTACTCCAGAAAGACATAAAAAAGGATAGATATACGAGATGATGCAAGGTAACAGAAAAGTACAACTGCAGATGTAAAATTGAATACAAGGCCAATGCAAATGTTTTATTTTCCAAATCATAAAAAGGATTACTTTAATGTGTTTTCAATTAAATTCAAATCAGTTTATTTATATAGCCCCAATTCACAACACATGTCATCTCAAGGCACTTTACAATTCAACCAAACTCTAGAGTCAAATTGATTCAAAGTTTTCTATCTAAGGAAAACCTACGGAGCCCCTAAAGGGACATGGAGGGGAAAAAAATAACTTTTGCGAGATCTCGTAATACTTTTGCGAGATCTCTCAAAAGTATTGCGGGATCTCGCAAAAGTTTATTTTTTGCGAGATCTCGCAATACTTTTGCGAGATCCCGCAATACTTTTGCAAGATCCCGCAATACTTTTGCAGGATCTCCCAATACTTTTGCGAGATCCCGCAATAGTTTTGTGAGATCTCTCAAAAGTATTGCGGGATCTTGCAAAAGTTTATTTTTTGCGAGATCTCGCAATACTTTTGCGAGATCCCGCAATACATTTGCAAGATCCCGCAATTTCTTTACGAGATCCTGCAATAGTTTTGTGGGATCTCTCAAAAGTATTGCGGGATCTCGCAAAAGTTTATTTTTTGCGAGATCCCGCAATACTTTTGTGAGATCCCGCAATACTTTTGCGAGATCCCGCAATAGTTTTACGAGATCTCGCAAAAAGTTAACTTTTGCAAGATCCTGCAATGCTTTTGCAGTATCTCGCAATACTTTTGCGAGATCCCGCAATAGTTTTGCGAGATCCCACAAAAGTATTGCGGGATCTCGCAAAAGTTTATTTTTTGCCCTCCGTGTCCCTTTAGGGGCTCCGTAAAAACCAGTTGATTGCATCAACTCATTGAATCGAAGGCAATCCCTCACACTAAGCATGCTTGTAGCAACAGTGGAGAGAAAAAACTCCCTTTTAACAGGAAGAAATCTCCAGGAGAACCAGGCTCAGTGTGAGCGGCCATCTGCCGAGGCCGACTGGAGTTTTTGAAGCTCTGCTTTTAACTATGCTAGCAACTGTGTATGAGGAGTTCGAATAATGAGATAAAATGTAAATACCATGTTTATTCTCTTCCAGATTTTTTTTTAAGTTTTAGGTTTGTTAAAGTAACCAAGAATCATAAGAACTTATTTACAGTTAAGTTTTCAAACCATTGTTTATTTTTTTAAGGATAGAAGGTTATAAAGAGCATCATAGTTCAATAAAGATATAAATCCATCTCTTGTTAATTAATGAAATACATGTGATTAACAAAATTGGTTCGACTTCACAAGCGGGTGTTTTCACTGCCTGACCTGTTATCAGGAAATCATTTAAATCATTTTTTTTTCCTGTCAACAAGATGGGCATAAAGAGCTTTAAAATTGGGACAGTGAAGTTTTTTTTCTTCTCAGTTCCGTATCTGGTGTTTGGGCCGTTTAGTATTTAATTGTTAGGATAAATCGTAAAGAGCATGGCATCAGTCAAAAGCTGGGTAAAATGCTATTGATGCCAGGTCAGTATAATG